CACCCAGTGAGTAATGGCATGCAAAAGGGGCTTCCAAGTATGGAGTTGCTATTCATGACCCACATGATGTTTATGCCTGCAGAATAAGTGAGCTGTTGTTAAAAATTACCCATTCTTACAGACAGACAGATAACCCATGACCTTGCATAATTTGGCTTCTGCTTATGCTGCTTACCTCTCACTATTATTCCCCTTCTGCTGAGCTATACATTCTCCTTATTGTGAGCTTTCAGTTATCAGAAAGAGCCATATTGTTCTAAGAGAATGAATTTACAAATAATGGCCATGCCATATATGATGGTAAAACTCTGACCCTCATAAAAAGTCCAGGCAGCCAAACCACAATTTCTGTAGCAGTTGACCCAGAAAAGTCAGAATATGGTCAACAACTACCCCTTCTTTGTTTTTGTTCCTCTGTACTCTTCTTTGAACTTAAGACCATTCAGAAAAAGGCAAATTTGCCCCCCAACCCAATTACCCAAGAGGCCCTGGTTCCATTTAGCCCACGTCCAGCCTCCCTGTGCCAACAGCTTTCAATCAGAAGGTACCTGGATCCTCCCCTCATTGTTTTTATTGTGAAACTTTCCTGCCTCACTGATGGCCTTTGAGTATCTGCCAGATGCTAGTGATAATGGCTGGCTCCTTGCTGCAAACTTAGAATAAGCAGACTGTTCACATTTGGGAGGTCTTTGTTTATTTCCATTCTTCTTTTGGCCTTTTGCACATTTGTTTCCTTTTTTTTTTCTCTTCCTGGATCTTTCCTCCTTATGTGGGTCATTTGTATCCATCTTTTAAGGATCAGTTTAGATGCCACTCATCACAACAATAACAATAATAATCATTATTAGAATCATAGTTAACTGTGCCAAGAACTGTTCTAAGCATGTTCAATTTATCAGCTCATTAAACTTTCAGAACAATTATTGAAATAGGTTTCTATTATTGCCTACATTTTACAGACAAGAAAAGATAACCCAGAGAGATAAAGTAACTCTCCTGAGGTCACTCAACTAGTAGGTGAAGGTTTTGGGATAGAACTTAGGTAGCCTGTCACCATAGTTCACTTTTGAGACCCTGCTGCTACTCTGCTTTCAGAGTAGATTTTCATATGCCCTCATTTTGGGATGGGGACTTACCTTTAATAATAATACTGTGTGATAATTATTTATGAATTTGTTTGTAGTCCCTACTAACATTTAAGGGGCTTCCCTGATGGCTCAGTGAGTAAAGAATCTGCCTGCAATGCAGGAGGCACAGGAGATGCAGGTTTTTATCCCTGGGTTGGGAAGATCCCTGGAGAAGCAAATGGCAACCCACTCCTGTATTCTTGCCTGGGAAATCCCACGGAGAAAAGGAGCCTTGGCAGGCTACAGTCCAAAGAGCTATAAAGGGTCGGGCACTACTGAGCAACTAAGCATGCCTGGTTACTACTGTAATTAAAGTTTTCTCAGTACAAGGAGAGTTTATAATGTTTGTGATCAAGCATATAGTAGTGTCTCTCTAAATGCGTATTTGAGGAATGAACAAATTAATGATTGAATAAATGAAATGTACACAAATGTCTCAATTATTATGTAAAATTGGAAGATAATAACTTTAAAAAGAGATAAAGGGACCCTGCTTCTATGCAAACTTTGAATGCAACACAAGTCTGCATATGAATTTACAATTATTATTCAGGAAATCATCTCTCAAAGCAGGAATTCTTCTCTCCTCTTTGCTTGTTTCTTTCCACACTTTTATTTTTTTTAATTAAAATTTTTTTTTTTATTGTTTTAAGTATTTACTGGAGTGTAAGTGTGAGAGCATTAGCTGCTCAGTCGTGTGTGACTCTTTGTGACCCCATGGACTGTAGCCCAACAGGCTCCTCTGTCCATTGGTATTCTCTAGGCGAGCTTACGGGAATAGGTAGCCTTCTCCAGTCATTGAACCTGGATCTCCTGCATTGCAGGCACAGCCATCAGGAAACAGTTGCTTTGCAATGTTTTTCTTAGTTTGTACTGTACAGGAGGGTGAATCAGCTATACGTATACATATATCTCCTCTTTTTCCCTCCATACTCTTCAACATAATCATGTTCTGTGCTGTGCTTAGTCACTCAGTCATGTCTGACTCTTTGTGATCCTGTGGACTGTAGCCCACCAGTCTCCTCTGTGCATGGAATTCTCCAGGCAAGAATACTGGAGTGGGTTGCCATTCTCTTCTCCAGGGGATCCTCCCAACCCAAGGATTGAACCTGGGTGTCCTGCATTGCAGCCAGATTTCTTACCATCTGAGCCAACAGGGAAGCCCAGGTATTCCTATGAATTATGTCAGGAATTTAGAGAAAACTCTCCAGTGGAAAGTTCTTTAATGTGTCAAGCCATTGCTTTCTGTCTTTGTAACTCACACCCTGGGACTGATGCTGAGCCCTTGTCCATGCTCAGTGAGTCTCTTTTCTTACACTGGTAAGACTGACCTGTCTGGAGAAGCACTAAGGCAGTCATCGTGTTCAACTTCTTGACTTTATGTTGAATATTGTTGAAATCTATTCATTCACTCAAGAGCTATTTATTGGGTCTTTACTAGGTTTCTGCTATTGTCCCAGGATTTTGGGGACCCAGAGGTAAATTAGGCAAGGCTCATGACCTAACCAAAGCAGAAGATATTAAGAAGAGGTGGCAAGAATACACAGAAGAACTATACAAAAAAGATTTTTAATGACCCAGATAATGATGGGTCATATGATCACACAATAGTGTGACCACTCACCTAGAGCCAGACATCTTGGAGTGCTAAGTCAAGTCGTCCGTAGGAAGCATCACTACCAACAAAGCTAGTGGAGGAGATGGAATTCCAGCTGAGCTATTTCAAATCCTAAAAGATGATGCTGTTAAAGTGCTGTACTCAATAGGCCAGCAAATTTGGAAAACACAGCAGTGGCCACAGGACTGGGAAAGGTCAGTTTTTATTCCAGCCCCAAAGAAAGGCAATGCCAAAGAATGTTTGAAATATCACACAATTGCACTCATTTCACATGGTAGCAAAGTAATGCTCAAAAATTTTCCAAGCTAGGCTTCAGTAGTATGTGAACTGAGAATTTCCAGATGTTCAAGCTGGATTTAGAAAAGGTAGAGGGACCAGATATCAAATTGCCAACATCTGTTGGATCATCGAAAAAGCAAGAGAGTTCCAGAAAAACATCTACTTTTGCTTCGTCGATTATGCTAAAGCCTTTGACTGTGTGGATAACAACAAACTGTGGAAAATTCTTCAAGTGATGAGAATGTCAGACCACCTTACCTGTTTCCTGAGAAACCTGTATGCAGATCAAGAAACAACTGTTAGAACAGGACATGGAACAATGGCCTGGTTCAAAATTGGGAAAAGAGTATGTCAAGGCTGTTTATTGTAACCCTACTTATTTAACTTTAATGCAGAGTACATCATGTGAAATGCCAGGCTGGGTAAAGCACAAGCTGGAATCAAGATTGCTGGGAGAAGTATCAATAACCTTAGATATGCAGATGACACTGCTCTTATGGCAGAAAGCTAAGAGGAACTAAAGAGCCTCTTGATGAAGGTGAAAGAGAAGAGGAGAAAGCTAGTTTAAAACTCAACATTCAAAAAATGAAGATCACAGCAACCGGTCCTATTGCTTCATGTCAAATAGATGGGGAAACAATGGAAACAGTGACAGACTTTATTTTTTTGGGCTCCAAAATAACTGCAGATGGTGACTGAATCATGAAATTAAAAGACGCTTGCTCCTTGGAAGAAAAACTATGACCAACCTAGACAGCGTATTAAAAAGCAGAGACATCACTTTGCCGACTGAGGCTCATCTAGTGAAACCTATGGCTTTTCCAGTAGTCATGTATGGATGTGAGAGTTGGACCATAAAGAAGGTTGAGTACCGCTGAAGAATTGATGCTTTCAAACAGTGGTGTTGGAGAAGACTCTTGAGAGTCCCTTGTACTGCAAGGAGATCAAACCAGTCAATCCTAAAGGAAATCAATCCTGAATATTCATTTTAAGGAGTGAGGCTGGAGCTGAAGCCCCAGTACTTTGGCCACCTGATGCAAAGAGCTGACTCATTGGAATAGACTCTGATGCTGGGAAGGATTGAAGGTAGAAGGAGAAGGGTATGACAGAGGATGAGATGGTTGGATGGTATCACAGACTTGATGGACAAGAGTTTGAGCAAGCTCCAGGAGATGGTGAAGGACATGGAAGCCTGGCGTGCTGCAGTCCATGTGGTGGCAAAGAGTTGGACACAACTGAGCGACTGAACAACAACAATAACAGCAATTCTAGTGGAATTGAGTGACAAGTCAAACATGAAAACAAGCAAAGAAAATAATTTTTTAAAAATATGAACATGTAAATTTAAAATTTTAATTGAAGTATAATAGATTTACAATGCAATGTTAGTTTCAGATGTATGGCAAAGTGATTCAGTTACATATACATATATATATATTATATATATGTGTTATATATATTTATAAGAATATATATGTGTGTTATATATATATATATATATATAAAAGAATATATATATTCTTTTTCATATTCTTTTTCCTTAGAGACTATTGTTCCCTGGACTATACAGTAGGTCCTTTTTGGTTATCTATTTTATATAGAGTAGTATGTATATGTTAATCCCAAACTCCAAATTTATCCCCCCACCCAACAAATAAAATAATTTCAAAAAAAAAATAATTTCAGTAAGTGTCCCATTGGCACAAAGTTACGTGATAACAACCTGTCCAAATGAATCCCTTTCAGAATGTAACAGCTTCCATAATTGTGTCACCCCATCACATTCTCTTGTCTCTGATCAGCCAGTCTTCCTTGGACTTCATGTTTCCTTCCAAATGGTAGGAGGTTATAAACCTTATTTTGGATCAAAGTTTTTTTTAGGAAATTATTATTCCCGATCCTCTCCCAATCCTTGTTTATTGTCAGCATAATGAAGATGACTTTTCTTCTCATACTTTCTTTTATTTTTCTCCTAGGAATTGACTATTATAACAAGATCATTGATGATTTGTTAACAAATGGGGTCACACCCATTGTGACCCTCTACCACTTTGATTTGCCTCAGGCCTTGGAAGACCAAGGAGGTTGGCTCTCAGAGGTGATCATTGAATCCTTTGACAAATATGCTCGGTTTTGCTTCAGTACATTTGGGGATCGAGTCAAGCAGTGGATCACCATAAATGAGCCTAATATTTTTGCAGTGATGGCATATGAATTTGGTGTATTTCCTCCTGGTGTGCCTCACGTTGGAACTAAAGCTTATCAGGCAGCTCATAATTTGATTAAAGCGCATGCCAGATCCTGGCACAGCTATGATTCCTTATTCCGAAAAGAGCAGAAGGGCATGGTATCTCTGTCAGTTTTTGCTGGCTGGGTGGAACCAGCAGACCCCGCCTCAGTGTCTGACCAGGAAGCAGTTAAAAGAGCCATGGCATTCCAGTTGGACTTCTTTGCTAAACCCTTATTTATTGATGGCGATTATCCTGAAGTTGTCAAGTCTCAGGTTGCCCTCATGAGCAAAAAGCAGGGCTACTCATCGTCACGGCTTCCAGAATTTACAGAAGAAGAGAAGAGGATGATCAAAGGCACTGCTGATTTCTTTGCTGTGCAGTATTACACGACTCGCTTAGTCAAGAACCAGGAGAACAAGAAAGGAGAACTGGGTTTACTCCAGGATGTGGAGGTTGAAGTTTTTCCAGACCCATCTTGGATAAGTTTGAATTGGGTCTGTGTGGTGCCGTGGGGAATACGTAAACTACTGAAATACATTAAGGTAAATGCAGTATTTGTTTGCATCCATGTGTACCCAAACCTGGAAATATGGGAAGATGCGCATATATCTATGTGTATAAAGACCTGAAAAATGAATGCTTTAGGCAATAGAATATACATTTGTTGGCCTGGGAAGAGGTGATTAGAATTTAAGTCAATGAGGGATAATTAGCTGATAGTGTTAGTTGCTCAGTTGTGTCCAACTTTGTGACCCCATGGACTGTAGCCTGCCGGGCTCCTATGTCCATGGTATTCTCCAGGCAAGAATACTGGAGTGGGGTTGCCATTCCCTTCTCCAGGGATTCTTCCTGACCCAGGGATCAAACCTGGGTCTCCTGCATTACAGGCAGATTCTTTACTGTCTGAGCAACCAGGGATAAAGGGCTTCAAAGTCATGATTAGACTTAGGATTTGCTGTTAAATTCAGTTGTAACTACAGTAGTGCCTTGGACATATTTTTCAGGCTGGGGTCACAATTGAGTTACTAAAAGGCATAACAGGGGTTTGAAATAGCTGGATCCTTTTTGGGTCTCTGTTACACTGGATGGCATCTAGGTAGCTGAAATGAAAATTTTAAGTTATCAGTTTTGTAGGATTCCTGCTATCAGGAGGATAGAGAATATAGCTGCTGGGGAGAGGAGGACCAAGGGGTTAAGGAGCAATGACAATCAGCAGATGCTGATGGAAGAAAGATATTTCTGTCTTCTCATTATAACAAGAGTCATTTGACTGTCTTCATGGATATTTGCACAGTTTTTCTTTTCCATTGTTAGTTATAAAAGGTCAGTGCGCGGAAAATTAAGTTAATAGGGTCAGTGCAATTTGATGAAAACTAGTTTTGGGGTTGTAGCTTAGAGAAGATAGAGGGTAATGCACCTGATTTTATGAGATTTTTTTTTTTTTACACATCTGTTTGGAATAAAACTTCTGCTTTCTCGTTCCAGGATACGTATAATAACCCTGTAATTTACATCACTGAGAATGGGTTTCCCCAGGGTGACCCCACATCTTTTGATGACACTCAGCGCTGGGAGTATTTCAGACAGACATTTCAGGAACTGTTCAAAGGTACCATTTGAAATGATGAAAGATCAATTGTGCAAACTTAATATGATTTTCCCATGTGCCTATTTGCATTCAGCAAAGACCAATGATTTTGAAAGCTGAAATTCATGTAAATCAGTGTAAAGCTATGTAATTAACAGAGGGGGAAGAAAAAAGTATTTCGGAAAGAGGAAGGTGAGAATTTTGGCCTAACTTCAACCTGCTGAAATTTAATCAAGTAAAAAGCGACAGTCTTCAGCATTTTGTGACTCCTGGGTGAAGGTGACATGAATAGAAGGAGTGGTGGCTGTTGGGGAGAGGGCATTAGTTATTACACATAGATCAGCATTGACCAACTAGAGCATGCTTATTGGCATAGTTTAATATCCTAACTATCAAGAAATGAATTGGCAGAATTCTTAAAGGACCAAAACCAAGCATTTGTGTAATAAACTTTCAAGTGGTATGTGTCTTCAATCAATGAATGTTTCATTTAAAGTATAACCAAACAGCAGACATTTTTTTTTGCCATAGAGAATCTGTGAATTTTACTTCAAGACAATATTGTTATTCTGGTAACTTCTTTTACCCAATGGAATTCTTTTCATATTTGAAAACAAATGTGAAGGAATAATCTTTAACTGGTAACACACATTTCTGCCTTAGTTAATTTCTCCCTTTTAGCTTCCCCTTGGAACACTGTTGCTTCATAAATTTAATTTCTCCTCCCTATAAAGAAATCATATCATAGCAACAAAATTCAATGAAAATGAGGCTTTCAATTTCCTTTTTTTTAAAACCATGATAGGCACTTATTTCTCCTCACTCTGTTTGAGAGGTCCTGGAATTATTCTTTCCAAACTAAATCAGTAATATACTGGAATCAGTGAGAAGGAATTCTGGAAAGTGACACAAAGTGGTTTCTTTCCAAAACCTCAAATATATTGACTCAATCCCTCGCCCGGCCCTGGGGTTTATTGACAGAGGGCAATTGGATTTCTACAATTTTACACAAGCAAAATCATTCTTTTGTGTTACACACAAAAAAGATTCATCCTCTGTGTGGGAATTCACCTTCTGATAAGAAAAGGAAATCTCTAGTTTTCTGAGATTCTTCCCCACTTCTCCCTATAAATGACCCTGCTGCTGCTATTTAATCATTAAGTCATGTCTGACTCTTTGCGACCCCATGGACTATAGCGCGCCAAGTTCCTCTGTTCATGGGATTTCCCAGGCAAGAATACTGGAGTGGGTTATAAATGACCCTGCTCATAGCTAATACGCCAATGTTCCCAACTTCACCTCAAGAGACAAGTAGGCTAGTTATGATCATCAGATTTATGGATGCCCTAGGGACCACAAAGGACTTGTTCAACACTGTTCTGTGTATTTTAGGGAAAAAAGAGAAAAAGTAGAAATTGTCTTTCTTCATTCCCATCTTGGTGCTCTGTTTAGTGCTAACACATAAGGACATTTCTTTGTTCTCTGAAGTCATTTTTAGTTGTTTCTACAGTGCCTTAGATCTTTAACACCAAAAACTCACCGGTGGACCCTCAAACTAAGGTAACTTAAAGACAGAACAGTAACTGAAGGCAAGAGATGAAAATGTGAGAAGATTTGGGTTTGTGAGGGATAGGAGAGAAGATAAGGTTAGGAACAAAATCCTGCTTTCGAACTTATTGAATTCCTATTGTACTGTTGAATTAATGGAAAAAGTATGAACCTAAACTGTTAATTATTCACAGCATCTACATTCTCTTCTGATTCTTAACATTATGATTTCTATTCTTTGCAATTAACAAATAATATTGTATTTTTTGAAAATGTAGTTTTTCAAAATGTGTAGAAATCTACACATTGACCAAAAACACTATATTAAGTGTATCTATTCTGGACTGGATATAGTGATGGCTATTTTTCATATGTTGTTGTAGTGAACACCAGTTCTTTCTTCTGCAGTGAAGCTCTTTTCCAGTAACTAGTCTCTTTTCTTTCTAGGAAATACCCACCTTGCCCCTGTTCTTAAACTCACCACAGGGATAGCTATGTAAGCAGAATAAATGACTGCTCTTTGTCAACAGACAATTGATTGATCTAGATGTAGGCACATGGCGTGAGGTGGATCAATCCCAGTTCTTCCCTGGGATTTAAAATTTGGACCAATCAGTTTGCTTGTCTCATAACATGGATTGACAAGGTTATGTAACTCTGTGGGCCATTGGTGGCTATGCTTTTCCATGTAAAGCTTAGGGGTAGTGAGAAGGTGGGTGGGCAACAGCTACTAGTGCACCCAGGGAAATGGAGACAAGAAACCAGGGAGAAATCAGGGGGACAGTTGTGCTTCTAATTCCAGTTTTTCTCAGACTCAGCTGCAAACATGTTTTTGAGAGACATTACTTTTACTTATAATTAAGGGCTCTTTCTGGTTCACTTGATTCTGATTGGATTTCTATCACTTGGAACAAAAAGGGTCTTAATTGATGCGATCACATTTTATTTTCAAGACAGTGAGATGAGGTCATTGCTCCTATCTTACAGATAAGAAAACTGAGTTTCAAAGAGGCTAAGTCATTTGCTCGAGATCAAAAAGTTACTAAGTAATATTTGCTGGAACAAGGCAGAATGTGTATAGTATTATTGTTACTGCCACTACTTTGGTGTTTGATAGGATCCGAGTCCAGGGCTTTCTGAGTGAGAGCACTTGCTTGTCCCACCACACTTCTAGAAACTTTGCCTCACCTTTGGGTGCCCTGGGCTTGTGTAAATTCTTTGAAAGGGTTTCATGCTGCCTCGGCAGGAGCCAGCAAGTCCTATGACCTTGGACAGAGCTCAGATGTCCCATATCCTGCCTCTCATCAGAGGAGGGAGCCGAAGCGACTGATCAATTTCCTGAGACTCCTCCAAGGTAGTGCCGATGATCTTGACTGGCGAGCACTTTACTAGGAAGAACCACCCTGTGAGCGATTAAAAGCAATAACAAGCCGAAGAAGGTATTTGTGGGAAGCACGGCAGGTGAGAGGCTGCCAGAACCCAGGGAGTCAGATGGATGATGGCTTTGTGCTTCTCAAGAACAAAGCCTTCCCTCCCACATCATGCATATGGACAGGCACATAATGACACTGTAGTTGGATCAATGGCGTCTGCCTGAAGGCCTTACTAATCTCCTCGGGTAAAATCCCACAGCAATTAATTGAGCTGTAAAAAGAAAGCTAATGTTTCTATTTCCTTATGAGAAAAGGAGAAAAAAAGAAAAGAGGAAAATGTCATTTCAGGAAAAAAAAAAGGGAGAAATCAGCGAATGCCTTTTTAATCACTGCATTATTTAAATGCCTTTAAACAGGTTTTGTTTTAATTAATGAAGATATGGATAAGAGAAAAGCAACACAGTGGAGACACACGAACTTGAAATAATATATAACTGGGCTTGTGTTCCAGCTCCAGTTATTCAACTAACCTCCGAAACTCACAGCTTGTTCCTCTATAAAAATGGGGCAATACTTTCCCTAGCAGAGTTGTAAACATTTCATTTAATAAGTTATTGTGCTAAACACCCCAAGCAATTGCCTGGCACATAGTAAGCCCTGTTATCATTGCCAAATGTGCACTTTTAAGAATATATCTATCACCTCAAGTTATTTTCCTTATTATTTAAAAAATAGAATCCCAGGACATTAAAAAAAAATTTCTATCCCCCTTCATGTCCCTAAGTTATGACAGAACATCCCCTGCCATGTCTGCAATTTTTCCATCATTTTTTTCTGGGAAACTTCCTAATAAATGCTGGTAGCACTGGTCCTCTGGCTATTTATGATTGAATCCTATGGAGGACCTAGCAGCCAGGACTTCCCTCCATTCATTACTTCATTTGGAGAGGTTGCCACATTAAGTGAAATATCAAGTAATTGGCAGCAGAAACAACTATCAAATAACTGGGTAGCTGGAATTGTTCAGTCACGGGGATTTTTGTAAATACTCAAGAAGCAGTGATCTTCAAAGCGTTAGGCTTTTCTCACATGATTTGAATCTTTATTATATTCATAAAATTTACATCAGTCTTGGCTGCTCTGGTGCCAGCTGGCAAGTTTAAGTCTATATATTATTGTTGTTCAGTTACTCAGTTGTGTCTGACCCTTTGTGACCCCATGGACTGCAGCACGCCAGTCTTCCATGTCCTTCATTATCTCCCAGAGTTTGCTCAAACTCATGTCCATTGAGTCAGTGATGCCATCCAGCCATCTCATCCTCTGTTGTACCCTTCTCTTCCTGCCTTCAATCTTTCCCATCAGGGTCTTTTCCAATGAGTTGGCTCTTCGCATAAGGTGGCCAAAGTATTAGAGCTTTAGCTTCAGCACCAATCCTTCCAATGAATATTCAGGGCTAATTTCCTTTAGGATTGACTAGTTTGATCTCCTTGCTGTCCAATGGACTCTCAAGAGTCTTCTCCAACACCATAGTTCGAAAGCATCAATTCTTCGGCGGCACTCAGTGTTCTTTATGGTCCAACTGTCTCATTTATACATGACTACTGGAAAAATCATAGCTTTGACTATATGGACCTTTATTGGCAAAGTGATGTCTCTGCTTTTTAATACATTGTTTAGGTTTGTCATAGCTATTTTTCTAAGGAGCAAGTGTCTTTTAATTTCTTATATATTAAGTCTATGTATAAACACACGTAAATGAAAGTGAAAGTCCCTCAGTTGTGTCCGACTCTTTGTGACCCCATGGACCATACAGTCCATGGAATTCTCCAGGCCAGAATACTGGAGTGGGTAGCCTTTGCCTTCTCCAGGGGATTTTCCTAACCCAGGGATTGAACCCAGGTCTCCCACCTTGCAGGCAGATTCTTTACCAACTGAGCCACAAGGGCCCAAGGACATATAAAGGGATACCTTAATAATCTGGATGTTGAGGAGGTAAGAAAGTGTGAGAAACCAGGCAAGTTATTCTCAGTGGGTGATCCTTGACCCATGACGTAAACTCTCGTAAAAGTGGATTTCAGTTGGGTTCAACCTGTTCCTCAC